GAGGTCTCCATCATCACTTTCCCTAAATACTGCTCTAATCCTTAAGTTGCTCACAAAATGTGCTACATTTTTCTGAAATGCTTAGATTAGCATTTATTTCCTGTTTAAGACACATTTGAAAAGCCACCATCTAATACATGCTAATACGTATTACTTTAAGTCGCAGGGGAAAGGGGAGATGGAGCACAGATACCTTGATATGCATAATAATAGCCCTGAAAATTACATCAACGGTAAGGAGAAATTTAAGGAGAAAATTTAAGTTTGAATCAAAACAGAATCCTACACACAGACTAAACTCGTATTTCAAATCAACCAGAAACACCGAGTGATGTTCAATACTTGGCACTATCCAAAGTGCCTACAGAAAGAAGGCAGAACTGCTGCATCATGATCTCCTCTGAACTGAGGTCTCCTATGCTGCCCTAAGAACTTTTCCCTAAGTCCTCGCACTTCTTCCACACTCCGAGCATGTCAAGTCATGCTCCTCCCTTCACCTGAGCACCTAGAATCATAGAATCATAGAATGCTTAAGGTTGGAAGGGACCTCAGAGGTCATCTAGTCCAACCCCCCTGCTCACGCAGGGTCACCTAGAGCACGTGCCACAGGGCTGCATCCAAGCGGGTTTTGAAGCTCTCCAAAGAAGCAGACTCCACAACCTCCCTGGGCAGACTGTTCCAGGGCTCTGTACTCTCCCTTTGCCTGTGCCAGTGACAACGCTCTCGATGGCTGTTTCTGCGCTACCTGCTTGAAGACTGGCTTGCAAGTGCATAAAGGATACAGGAAAAGCCAGATGTTTCTGCAGTCAGATGTTCCTGCCTCTCTAGACAAATTAGGAGATGTTTTCCTCTTAGCAGGGCACAGGTTTGGGGCTCAGAATGCCATGTAACAAGTAGAAAGTTTTCACGTTTGAAGTCACCACATCCCTATTAAATTCAGTGCAACACAGCAAACAGGTTCAGAAGCTAAAGTATTTCTAAAGCAAGGGGATATATTTTATTGCATTTTCACTTCCTTAAGATGTGTCTGTTCAAGATTGTCATGCAACATCATGTAGTAGACAAGAGTTTGAGTCAGAAAAAATAGAATGCACCCCTCAGTTAATGCACAGCAGTGATGTTTCATACGGGAACATATTTTTTTTTTAACTTTTCAACAATATTTTCTAGTGGCAATACTTTAAAAAAATCTAAATTACTACTAAACTACTATCAGAAGTTAGCTAAAGTATGCTTTAACCTTCATTTGAAAAGTCAGAAAACAGTAACTTTACACTCACTCTATACAGTTTCAAAAAAGAAAAAGAAATGGAAGATAATCTTCATGTGCCTAAGCTTCCCTGATCCTTCCTGGTTTAAGTTGACAAAATGCCATTAGCTGTATCAAAATTGGAGTAACAGTGAATCAGATCTCTTGATATGCAAGAAATAAGCAAGTGATAATCTCCACAAAAACACCACAACGTGAATTTGAAAATTTGTATGTACAAACAGAAAAGAACCCCCCAAAAACTCCAACACGTTTCTTCTATAGCTGTAGTTTAAGTTAGGGGTTTAGCCCAGATTTGTTTTTAATGTTTACTGATTCCAATAAAAAACCTAGAAGAGTTTAGGTAGAAGTCATTTGTTTTTCACCTGTAGAGTACACGGATACACAGCATGATTTAACATTATCTACTCCTTTGATGAGAAAGTATCAAAGACATCATAAAGTGTTACTGATTAACTGCACTTACTACTCGTTGTTTACATGACTTTACTTTTTCATGAAAGTTGGTTTTTAAATTAGACTGTGGGAAAAAAGAAAAAAAAGACTACTGGTAGTAGATATTGAAAATTTCTTTGATGTCCCACTTCCTACTGCAACCCATCTGAGGCTGAAAAGCAAAACTCTCGCTGAATAACTGAACCCAGCAGAGCGGGCGGGGACCATTTCTCAAAATGCGATCTAATAAACAAAGTCAAAAGGAGGAAGTTGGCCAGGTGCTGAAGAAGCTGACACTCCCATTTAGCCAAGCTTTCAAGGATACCATTTTATGCCACCTCTTAGGGGTCAAAGAGAAAATTCACCAAAGCCAGCAGGAATTTTTTCAGCTACTTTTATTAATCCTGGCCAAAAGAAGTGTATTTGCAGAAACACGTCAAATAAGCAACAAGACGAGGCAATGTTTTCCTGTTGGCCAGGAAGGTTGATTAAATCATACAAATGAATACAGTAAAATTCAGATAGTGCAGAAACCTCTATCACTTTTAAAGGCATCTGCTTTTGACACAGTTGATACAGAAGTGCTACGAGTTACCTGACGACTTTCAGACAGATTCTTCACCAGATGCTGAGTGACCTACAGAGTGGAATCAGTACTTTGGATTTGCACCCTTAGCTATTCACAATCAATTTTTAAATGTAAAGTACCAATTGCTCTTGAAATTCTCAAGAAGAAAATAATTATATTATGAATTATTACGATGCTGCTACTTGAGATATTATTTTTTGCCATGCAACATGGTCCATGCGTAAATCCGAAGTTAAAAATCATGCAAAAGAGAAATTTAGCATTAATTTCGACATCATTTCTTCATGCTTCAGAAGTCCTCAGCACACAATGAAGAACTTGGTTAATATGCAAACCTTCATACATGCAGTGGGTGAGTTTGGCTAACATGAATTCATCTGTCAAAGCAAGACTGGACCATTTGCACAGCAACTGTTTGGGATTTGCAAATGGCTCACTGTTCATTACTGTTCCAACTCTTAACTAATTAAAAAATATTTTATTCCACTCAAAAAAGCAGCAAGTACCAGATTTACTGTCTAACCTTTTCTAAGGTAGAAATACCTATCACTTGGAAATCATAGGCTTACAAACATCCAATGTGCTGAGCACTCTTTAATTTAAACTCTCCAGTTATAATATTTTATTCTTTTTGACAATATCAGCTACTTGAAAATTCAGCTTTTTTTCTCCAAAGCATTTCATAGGATGTTGGGTGAGGAGATATGTCAAAAGCATTTCATGCCATGAAGCTACTCTTCAAAAATTGAGACTTGAATGGGGCCAAAGTAGCTTAATCCTTACTCCTATGCAAGTCTCTCAATACCCAAATGGATTTGCCCACATAATCTCATTACGTGATCTGATTCCATACATGCGAAATATCATCCAACCTCTATGGGGAAGCTCTGAGAATGAGAAAAGAGTTAAGTCTTTTTCTGTTGAAGATATTTGAAAAGAACTGTCAGACAAATGATTCAATAAATGACCTTCACTATAACGATTTAGTGAACCATACTCTAATGACCTTATTGGCACACCATGCTAGCAAAAGCGCGAGCAGGATTCAGTGGGAATGAAGCACGTTTTCAGATTTCTCAAACCATATTTATTAACCTAACGTTAAAAGAAAACATACAGACTACAACAGTTTTTGGTTAAAAAGTACTACATCAATAAGAATCCTCAGATAACTATCAGTGATCCAATAAAACCATGGGGTACTTAAAATGTATGCATTAACATACATATCCTCATCCTGCTACAGTAAAGATATAAAAACTTCACTGTCTCATTCCAAAACTCAAAGAAATCCACAGATTTTAAAAGCTACCATTGAGACAAATGCCAAAAGTCATTACATTGACTTAAGGTTATTCTCACACAACCATGTCAGATCCACTTACTGAATGTAACAAAGACAGGCCAGAGCAACCTGCTCCAGCAGTAAGGAACCAGTCACACAATGGCGTATTTCTCCCATTTCTTATTGTACAACATCTCCAAGAATGTTATTTCCTTGCTGAAGCAAGGACTCTACAACTCTACAATCCAACTGTTATATCAATCAACAAAACAGAAGTCTGCTTTAGAAATAAAGTTTGTATTTCTTTCTTCTACAACTAAGTGCAAATTTGCTACAGTTAAGAGTTGATGCCTATTCTATAAGATAACCAACTACCTTTCCAGAACCCAGAGCCGTAAACAGCCTGTGTCCATGGAGATACCTGTAGCTTTCAGCAAAACACGCCTAAATTATCTAGCAGTAGTCACAGTTTGAAAATTCAGGAACATTCATACAGAAAAGGTCAATAGCAGCTTTCAAAAAAGCAGAGAACAAGATCAGCAAAGAGCCTACAGCATTAACGTACAGCACTATTTCATTAAAGATTTAAACCCAGCGCTACCCACAGCCCCCTATCTCAAAACAACCTTGCGTATTTTTCCAGCCTGACTGGATTTTTTCCCCCCTCCCTAATTATTAGTTTTACTTAAAGCCAGCCTAGATTACTAATCAAGCTTTAAAACACCACAGAGGCTCTATAGCAATCACACGCAGAAGAGAACGTGACGTTTTCCATCAAAATCAAGACACTAGAAATGCTAAAAAACAAACAGTCCCTCCAGCGCAGAGCACACCACAACCGCCTGCGCGCTGCCGCTGGGACCCTGCCAACCGATACCAGCGCGCAAACGCACCCCGCTCCCGTCCCCTTCCCCAACGCCGTTTTCCGCAGGCTGTTATTCGGGCCTCCCAAAGCCCCCTCGCTGGCAAGGCTCGGCGGCGGCGGCAGGTCGCGGCCGAGGCTGAAGCGCTGCCCCGGCAGCGGCTCCGCGGCCCTGGAGAGCGGCACCCCGGGGTGCAGCAACCTCCTTCCCGCGGCCTCGCCAGCCGCCTCCTCACCCTGCCCAGCGGTCAGCCCCGCGCCGCAGGGTCCTGCGGGCTGCTATCTATTTATTTATTTATTTATTTATTTATTTATTTATTGCTAGGCTGCCTCGCCCGCAGCCTGTTTTCAACCCGGGGACGGCACCCCGCTCCCTGCCTCCCGCTCCCTCCCCGCGCCGCGCCCCGCCAACGGCTGCGCCCCCCGCGCGCGCGCGGCCGTTAACGGCTGCGCCCCCTCCTCCCCGCGCGCGCGCGCGCGGCCGTTAACGGCTGCGCCCCCTCCTCCCCGCGCGCGCGCGCGCGGTCGTTAACGGCTGCGGCCCTCCGGGCCCGCTCACCCGCGCGGCCAGGAGAAGCAGGGAGCGGGCAGGGCAGGGCAGCAGGCGCCGCCGCAAGGAGCCTCGCCGGCGAGCCCGTCTGCTCCGCGCTGGCCCCGGCGCCCGGCTCCGCCTCCCCCACAGGCGGCCCCAGCCCCCACCCGCCAGGGCGCGGCCTCCCCACGGGCCAACAAGCGCGCCGCCCATTGGCGCGCGCGAGCGGCGCCACTAAGCGGCTCTCCCATTGGCCGGGGCCGCGCGCGGGCGGCCGTTGCGGGCCGCCTCAGGCGGGAGGAGCGCGCGGCCGCTCGGCGGCTCCTTGGGCCGCGTCCCGCTCCCGAGCGAGGCGGGAGCGACAACCGCCCCCGGGCGCTGCCCGCCCGCTGGGAGCTGGAGCGCGGCGACCTGAGCGGGGGGCCAGGGTGCGAGCAGCGCACAGGAGGGTTAGGGAAGTGCCCGAGAGCGTGAGCGGCTCCAGGGAACCGAGCGACCACCGTGTGGCCGCTGAACTCCTGCCTCGCGGCAGGCCCCTCGCTCTGGAAGCGCACCGAGGGGCCTGGCCTGCGTGGAGGGCATCATCTGAGCTCTAGCAACGAGCCTTTAAGTGTTTTGTTTTAAGGAATCTTTGAAGATCTCCATTTGCAAGCTCCCTGTTTATGTTAGTCCCAGGAAACTGGATTTCAATGTTGACTCATGTTCATTTTCTGTTACATTATCACAGTTACATATTTTTAGAGCCTGCTTTACGCTTCTAAATGTGTCATTTTATTAAATAGTGTCTCTCTCAAGCAGAGTTGTGGGTCTAAAAATGCATTTTCAGAAGCACTAAACTTCTCATAGCTGTTACTTGTGCCCTCCACTCCGAGGTTATCCACATGACCACAGGAAAAAAGGAGAAAAACAGAAACCTGCCAACAGACCCTGAGGGGTGTTTGCAGGAGCTACAGCCATCCACACACTTCAGGTTGTGGAATCCAGCCTGCTCCCCAGCCCCTGAGGAATCCCACCCCACTTACAAGGCTAGGGCCTTCTGGATAACGGTCTTCATCTGCTCATTGTTTAGATTAAAATATAATAAAGAAAAATGAATAAAATAGCTATGGGAAGGTGGTTTCCCTCCTTGGTTTCCTGCAGAGCTTTTAGAGCAGCAGTGCCAAGAAAGAAGGTGCATTTTCCAGAAGCTGTGGAGGGCAGAGCCGGCTGTTCCACGGGCAACAGTGGCTCGAGGTGCTCCTATAGCAGGGTGGCTTGGGCTGATTGTTACAGACACTTTGGAGTCACTCTGAGCTGCCTTTTCCCCCTCTCACCATGGAGCTGCCCAAGGTCACAGCTTCCTGCTGCCCCCTTCCCACCTGGCACCGTGTCCAGTATCACAAGGCCAGAGAGTAAAAAGTCAACTATCTGGAAAAAATGATAGCAACCGAGCGGGAAGGATGTGCAAAGGCAGTTTCCTGCCCTGGTGGCCAGGGATTGCTAAGCTGCTGCATGCGAACATCCATCCTGAGAATTCAGGCTTTGGCAGGAGCAGCTTCCCGAAGCGCCTCCTCCCCGGCTGCAGCATCGTCCGTGCTGGTTTAACAGCAAAGTAGGAGCACAAGGGTGGAGATATGAGGGAGGGTGGCACTGTGGCAGCCATAAACAGTCTGAACTACCATGGAATATATGCATAGGAAAAAAAAAATACAGACATTCTCTGCCTTTCGCACATACTAAAGAAATGCACAATACTACAAAAATAAAACAAACTACCAAGAAACACTTCTGCACTGTCCGTATTTTAGACAAAAAGCTTTTTTTTTTCTCCCCTCAACTTCTACCCATTACCTTCCAACACTGCAGCTACAACAAAAGGTACAGTATGTTACAACACACTATTTTTCGGCCTGTGGTATCTCTCCCCTCGTTGGGGTGGTTGTACAGCTTGAGAGGGCTCTAGGAAAACAGCCAGGAAACACAAGCTCCTTACCAACAGACTAGCACTTGCTCTGCACATCACTGTGTGCAGACTGGAGAATGCCTATTGGTCTGTAAATAAGAAAAAAAAAAAGCACTATAAAATATTTACGGGTAGCTCAGTGTTCCTGCAAAGAGGAGTTAAGTTCAGTTCTTAAGGTGGCAGAGATGTTGCAGGTGCTGAGTCATCAGCAGTAAGTGGCTTTCTCTGCAGGCCCAGCATCTTTATTCTGTTCAGGTCCTACACACTAAAATAAGATCATGTGGATGTGTTTACCTACAATTTCTTTTCACTTGGCTTTTCTAAGTATCATAAAAATAATTTTATACAATTATTTTTATGCACTAGACCTCCTTACCTGACACAAACATGTCTCTTTTTTTGACCAGCACTGTAGAGCTATCTGTGAGAAGCAAACTAAGTGGGTGTTACAGATCCAACATTAAGATATTTACCTGTTCCTTTGGAGAGGGTGCACCTACTCCAGGTAAACAGCTGCAGGCCAATTTTCTCACCCATGAGATGGGAATGAGAACATCCAAACAGATCTTTCCCCCTTGACCGTGACTGTTGCCTTTCATCTCACCCAGACCTTTCTGATCATTTCCCTCTGACAAAGCTCAGGTTTCTCCAAATAAAATCCCAGTACGTGAATTCTTCTGAGGCCTTAAGATGGAGGTCTAAGCCTTAAAACTTCTTTTTCAGATGCCAGCAAAGCAAAAGCTCTCTGCAAGGAGCTGCTCATTATACAGAGCTTGTGGAGAAGGGAAAGTAGATGTAGATAGGATAAATGGATGTAGGATAAATCCTTTGTAAAAAAAAAAAAAAAGAAAGAAAATGAAAGACTTTGTAATGGTGTTAACTTACTGACATGCCAGACACTCTCCTGATGTTGGTCAGAGTTACCTATGTGTAACATTACTATGGAAAAGTTTGAGAGAAATTTTCCCTTGAAACTATTAAAACTAAATGCATTTGCTTTTTTGTATATAACATACAGGTTATCCTAATTTCAAATGCATATAACAACATTCATATCTCATGATTTATGCAGAGCATTACTGCATTACTAAAGTTGGTGAGTGCACTTAAGATTATGCCCAAAGTACTATTAAAATTTTTATTTTGGGCTCAGCTGCATTCAGGTTCTTCATAAGATAGAATTACTTATAAATGTTATTGATTTATGTGGAAAAGCAGAATCTTTCTGATTATTTGGAAATAATATATGGAGACAATCGCTGAGGTCCGAGAATCATTTCATAAAACAACTATATAGAGAAAAAACACATTCCAATCTCCTTTCATCTCCTTCCACAATCAAAAACACATCTGAGGTTATTTGGGCTAAATAATAGAGAACTGAAGCAGCAGGTGGTGAAGGGCAGACACCTGGAACAGACTGATAATAAATGTTTCCAGATTTTAAGCTGAGAGGCCCCTTTGGCTTTAAGCATAAAAATATTGACTTTATCATCAGAGAAGGAAAAAAGCATAGGAAGATTCTTGCACACTATTGAGATAAAATACAAATCCAGCTTCATGTTTTAGGCTGGTTAATAAAAAGGAGTGAAGTACAATGACTGCTTTAGTCCAAAATAAAGTAACCCATGGACTTTTAATATTGGTAAAATGCTGTTCATGGGAGGCTTGTGGTTTGTTTTCCAAACTCCTTTTCCCAGTAAAGCTGGTTCTTTTAATTGAAACATTAATGACCCAATGAACCACCATGTCCTTCCAGATGCATGTTCTCTACAAGCTGTTTGTAGGCTAATTAGGGAGCTACCAGGACAGCTGAGATACAAAATGAGCAGCTAAAACCATCTTCATCATTTAGGAAAAGTGCCAGTAATGCGAGTTACATCTTTTGAAGAGACTAATTTGAGCCACTTTTGGACTTAAAAACAAACCCAAGAAAAAAAAAAATCAGGCCAAGTTCAAAGTCATCAAGAAAGGGCGGAAAAACATCTAAGAAAAGGTGCGAAGCTCTGTTCTGTTAGAACATAAACTTCTGAAGTATTTAAATAGCATTTATTTTTTTAAAAGACTCATTTTCACTATTTTTTTCTGTGGTTAGGGTGTGGCTGGTATTTGTTTGGAAAAATAAACTGATCTGAATGTTAGCACAGTGCAAGTCAAAGCACAACCAAATCACTGAAGCTTTGGACAGCTTTTGAGGCCACACCTGGAACCTCTTTCATTATTTGTCCCATAAGAAAACTCTTTAATAAGTTTACATGAAGTAGATTGTTCTATTGTTTTTTTTCCCCTTCTGCTCACGTGGATTCCATTCCCATTGATGGCCACTAGTCCAGCTGCATTATCTCCATCCATGCAAAAAGCTTCCAAGGTCAGAATTCAAACTTCATCAAATTTCCAATAAAAGAACCAATTGCGTTGAGATTTGTACACAAACAAGTCAATACAAAGCGGCTGTTAAAAAGGTAGAAAAGGCAAGAAGGGCCCTGCTTTTTGTGCGCACAGTTGTTATTGTCATTTCTGTACAAAATATACCAACTTCAATGAGATCATGCAGGAGTTTACTGCAAAGGGTTTCTTTGATATTTCTAAGATTACCTGTTCATTAGGGCCATGTTGTGACCCAATGGTTGGATTATCTGCTTTCAGGATAACTAGATACGCTAGTAATGGAATAGAAGTGATAAATTATAATCACAGTGTGATTTCTGTATTCAAGTTAAAGGTCTGGAGGGTGCAGTTTTGGGGGTGACTATCCAACAAGACCAACCTGGTACCCTAAGCTCACTGAACTTCAGTCCCTCAGTGAGTTCAAGTGCCATCAAACCTGCAAAAAGTTCCAGTAACGTTTTAAATTGTGCAACATTTCAGTAACATCTTAATATTATCCTACAACTTAGTAGCATTGCAATATTCAGCATTTGATATGCACTTGGCATGGTTGCACTACAAAAACTATGAGCTCTCCTGCTTAACAAGCTGCAAACTCTGTCCCAAGCACTCCTACTGCTAGAAAGAAAACACTTAGCTTCAAGGATTTGAATATTTAGTAAGATGAAAATTCTTACCTCATAGGATCTGCTTGCTGCCAAGTGAAGTATTTATATCCAGAACAATCAGGAACAATTCTTCACTGTGCTATGATGTAGTGAATATAATTTAGGCAGTGTTCAAATGTATGTAAATTCTCTCTCAAAGTGTTTTAATTTAAACATAAGTAATAAAAAACTCAGTTGTCACCAGGGTTAAACAACATTCAGCTGAGGAACTTTGCCAGGGATCATTGCTACTCATATGAGAAAAACGAGCAAAAGGTGTCCTAAGCTTCAGAAACTTCTCCCATGGGGTTTTCACCTCACATTGAGCTTTACTCTCTAGTTTCTCCAGGGAGACAGGTAGGAATGATTTTCACTCAAAATTCAACCGTATCCTGTTGCACGGAAGAGGTTGACCAGCAGATGTCACCAAATCCAAAATCATCACAGTAAAAGATTGAGAAATAAACAATAAGGTCACTTTGAACTTTTCAGAGCATGAGGCTGTGAATATCCTCACTGCTTACTTGCACTGATGTAAAAAGTATTAAGTTCTCATCTAGACACCAGTACACACATTTCTGACACACACAGACACAAAAAGTAAGTGCACAACACCCTCACTGTCACTTAAGAGTAACTTTCTGGTTAACAGATCACCTTCCAAGATACCTTCTGTTGACAAACCCTTGTTGAAACCTGTATTCTCAAAACATTTTCCCCCCTCAAAATTTCCCACAAATGGCACTTTTAACACTTTTTGTAGCAAGCTCAGTGAGAAAAGAGACCAAGAGAAAATAGGCAGCCCTCACCATACACTCACACAGCACCACCTTTTTTTTTTTTTTTAACAGTACCAATTATTTTGATTTGCATACTCCCAAATGCATTTTTTTGACATGGCAGATAGTATTTTTTACAGTTTACATAAAGTATTTTAAAAATGAGGTGCTTGCAATAGGTTATATATGTAAAAGACTGAGCAAGGATCTCCTCCTCTCGAAGGAGAGGCCCACTGGAGACAGACTAACCCTTCTTGCCCTTAAAACGACTGTTTTAAGCCTCAATTCTACATCCAAGAAACACTGAAATTAATGGATAAAGGGTAATTTCTACACCCATAGTTGTCCAGTAGCTGCCAACTTCCAAAAGCGTTGCCAGCTTGTTAATAAGGTTGACACAGTCAGAAGAATCAAGTACCGTTTGACACAACTACACTTAAAGGCACTAATGCTCACACTCAGAACTTCAACAAGACTGCACAAGTTACATGAACTGGGATTGAAAGTTTATCAACTTCAGAAATACATATGTATTCATATAAAAAAAGGAAATTAACACAAAAATTTACATATTTGCAAATTTCGTATTACAAAGGTAAAGAGAGTGTTATGTTTTGCATGTTGCATTACATACATATTTTTGATGTTTAAAAATCTAATATTGCTGCAAAAGAACACCAAAAAAAAAGCTATTGCAATTCCATATCTGAATAGGACCCCAAAGACAGTATATTTTCAGTACGGTTGTCCTGACACACTGATGTCAATTATTTCCAGAAAGAGCAGAATTTCCTTTGCAGACAGTAAATGTAAATTCTGAATGAGGCCAGAACCTGCTCCCCATAACAACTGGCTTGTTGGCTGAGCCTTGAAGCAGTGGTTCCTTCAGAATCACAGAATGGTTGAGGTTGGAAGGGACCTCTAGAGATCATCCAGTTCAACCCCCTGCTCCAGCAGGGACACCCAGAGCACGGGGCGCAGGGTGGGAGTCAGGTGGGTTTGGAAGATCTCCAGAGAAGGAGACTCCACAGCCTCCCTGTGCAGCCTGTTCCAGGGCTATTCCAGCCTGTTCCAGGGTTCATCTCAGAAGTACTCAGCAACAGGGATGCTCATTTAAAATATCAGACCTCTAGCTGAATCAGAAATTTAAGTGCTACATCTGTTTTAACTTATGCTCCCAAAAACTCTTAAGAAGCTGCAGAGGTTGAGTGTCTGATATCGTGCCCGTGTGTCTCCTTCTCACAGAAGAGATGAGACAAGGTAAGAAATTGTGTCCCTATATACGGCCCTAACATTACATCCCTTACTTGGCAGAATCCCCATACGTTGGAAACCCTACTTCATTGATTCCATAATCAAAATAGTATTCTTTGTTCAGGCTGTTGAAGTTGTGACCGTTTAACTGTAACAAGATTTAAAGTGATATAAACTTTACATGAAATTTTAAAAGACAAAAAAAATCTATGGTATGGATTCAATCTCAAACTAGACAACCCCTACTCCTCTTTTAGGAATTAGAGCAAAACCATTAGAAGTCTTGTAAACATTATTAGAGATAAAATTATAACAGTACTTTCAAATTGAGAAAAATTGTTTAAAAGGTCATTAAAATAAATTTCTCCTCTTTATGAAAATTCATGACTAGTGTAATTCCAACATAATCATTAAGTTTTTTGTTTTAGGAAACCTGGCCCCAAAATATTTGGGAACAAAGCAAGCACCCTCGATGCATATCATTAATACCACAGTTCGCTTGGTGCTGATAGTACTTAAAACCCGATTTGATTTTGCACACAACTACAAACTGAGTAGCAACCTTAATAATGAAAGAATTATTAGATATGCACAGACTAGTGCAAGATGCTTTGCCCTAGAACAGAGCGTGATGACTACCTGATCCAAGAGACTGACCAGGAGGTTTTCTGAGCTACATTCAAGAGTGACTGTAGCACCACATTTGGTGCTACATAAAAGTTTTGGTTTTAGATTTCTTCTTCTTATGTATTTCATGTTTTTATGACAGCAATGTGAAAGAAAACTGCTAGTCAGAATTGGGGCGGGGGGGGGAGGTTCATGACTTTTCCCCGCTCCCTCCCATTAACCTCACACACTCCTTTTCCTTACATCCGTCACAATGTTAGTTGCATCCACCCATCCAGCTCTGGGCGAGCGAACGGGGCTCCCGTGGAAGGCAACGAACGTGCCCTGTGCCCAAGTGCTCCGTGTGTCGTGAGGCCGCAATCAGCACTTACATTTATGTATGGGATGGCTTAAAAAAAAGCCACATTTCTTGATCATCTTTACCTATCGTAAACCAAATTATTTGCATAAAAGTCCTCATTATTTACATATCAACAATACAAGTAAAAAATAAAAATAAAACCAAACCTCTCAGTTCAGCACCAGTTCTGGCTGAAGGAGCGATGCCTTCAAGTCAGAGTATTAGTATTCCCTGTCACAAGTGAACTCCAATGTTCTTTCAGAAGTTCCCCTTTCCTGCAGAGGTTGTATCCATACCATTTCTTCATTCCCATCCATCCGAGGAGATTGGTAATAGCAGCAGTTTAACAAAGGTGCGGGTATCACGGACAGCTTTCACAGCACTATCAGTTCAGATGTTTTTTAAAAGAAAGGGCCATAAAAATTCACCGCTCTGGATTGCAAAGTTCACCTCAAGTTCATTAAACAAAGTCTATATCCAACCCAAGTGGGAACAAGTGGTTGGAACAGACCCAGTCTGCGTGTGCAAACAACAGGTAGCCTGGAGTACTGTACAACAGCACTTCCAGCTCCAAGACGTGGGGAGCCCGGTTCTCCTCAGGGTCATTGAGGTTCACCAGGCACCTCATCTTGGCTTGGAGTAACCATAGGGACACTGCAGAATCAGGCTCTCGTGACTAGGCAAGACGTGAGTGCTGTAGTATTCAACCAAACTTCCCATGTTCAAAAACATGATCTCTGCATCCAGGTAAAACTTGCAATCCTGTTGGAGAACAAGAACGTGTGTAACCACTAGCAGTTATTTTCCCTAGTCATGGTGTTAAACAACCACTACCATCACCAACACCCATCATCACTAGACCTAAGGAGAGCCTTCAAACCAGTCACTGCTTCACAAGAGGTTCTCCCAGGCAAATGTGAATTTAAAGAGGATTCAGGTTTTTAATATTTCCACCTCTGGGATTCAAGTGGGTTTTGACTTTTAGTTCTGATTTACACCCCCACACACACACCCCATGTCCAGCACAGCCACTCACCTTTTCAAAGATTCTGTAGTTTCTCACTTTTTCTGCAGATTCATCCCATACAACCAAAACCTTGAAAAATAAAATTCAACATAGTCATTCTATGTTAATAAGCATTTGTAAATCAACACATTTTTAATGAATTAGTTACAATCAGTTGACCATCCTAGAAAATTTTTACTTAAGTTATAACAGTCATTGCCTCAGATTTCATTGCTTTAAGGAAAGAGCCCATCTAAATTCTGAAGTAGTTTACCACACATACGATACAGTGTCTCTCTAAAACAAGACTGTAGCTATAGTAGTTTCTGTGCAGGTTCAACTATTGCAAGTTACCTTTCCAGGCTTAGTAGATGAGTTCCTAATACAGTATAGTCCATTTTGTGGTTGTCCTCTTGGGCTGTGAGCTTTGAATGCCCTAAAAAACACAGCAGTTATATGTGTTAGCATTTTCAGAATCAGACGATAGAATGTATATGTTCCTAAAATTCTTAAAACTACCTTTATGTCTGTCATAATAATTCATAGTACACACACACACATATATATAGTGTATCCATAGTGAGAGAGAATTTGACTGTTCTAGCCTCTGCAATGCAGTACTCAACATGTGGCTTTTCTGCCCATTTAGCACCCTGGCAGGAGAAACTTTTCTAGATGGAGCAAAATCACATACTCTACATTTTCAACAGATACAGGAACACTGAACTCACTCCCCTAAAAAGCAGTTTTCATATTAAAGGGTTTTAAAAATGCTATTTTTTTTTTCTTAAACACAAATTATACCTCCCAGAAAATGATTTTTTTCTATACTACTGCTCAGCATTTTTTTTATAGGTTTTCTAAGCAACTGTTGTAAAGTTATATCTACCTTTCAACTTCAAAGGATTCGGAAGTATTAAAAAATACTGAATTAGGCAGCTCAACCTGTAAAAAAACACAAACAAAAAATCACTGTATATAAGAGAAATTCAAAATGCTGGCAACTTATTAAGCAAATATGCTACAGGAAGTTATTACCAGTGTTTACTTTTTGCTTATTTCTTCTATAAGAATACTATAATTTTTTCAAGGCATTCCTTAAACCTGAAAATAATCAGTAAAAAAATAAACCAGAAAATAAGCAGTATGTTTTCAGAAAGTTCCCTTTTCTGAAAAGAGGCACCTGCAAAGCTCCCCAAAGCATCCATAATTAAGAAAAACAATCGTCTTTGAGGCTGGATCATCTGCTTGATCTCACCTTTTCATAGTCCTCGTCCGAATCATCGGCAGGTTTGTTTGGCTTGGCAGGTAGTGCTGGTTTTTCAAACAAGAAGCTTCTGAAACTCTGCCCATCTGGTGGCGATCTCCTGGCAGAAACAGAACAAAAACTGAAGGACGTGTCCTCAGGAAACAAAATAAACACATACCAGGCACTGAAGGGATAATGAAAGCGGAAGTGAAGAGCAAAGGCCAGTTAGGGATTATCCTGGAATAACAACAATTTAGGTTGAAAGGAACCTCAGGAGGTGGAACCTCTTACTTAGTCCACCCTCATGTAAGCAGATCCCATTGGATTGGGCAGCTTTGAGCATCTCCACAGTGGAAGATTCCCCAGCTTCTCCAACACAGCTTGTGATATTTAACTACTCTTATGGTAAAAAGTTTTCCTTAGTTTTCAGCTGTAATTTCACTGATCGGGCCTTGTCTGTTGATTCTCATCCTATCACTGTGCACCTCTGAGAAGAATCTCACTTTATTTTCTTCATACCCTCCCAATGAGGAGCTCTAGACAGCAACAAGGTCTCCCATTAACCTTCCTTGGTTGGGGAAACCCGGTTCCCTCAGTCTCTCCTCCTGTGTCACGTGCAGTAGCCCATCACACGCTGATGGGACCTCCACCGCACTCACTTCAGTACGTAAATGTCTTTCCTGTACTGGTTTTAACAGGGTTCATTATTCATTCTTCAGAACTGCTAAGCAATCTGATGAGTAAGGTTATCTTCATCTGCCTTACCACTGTTGCTAGTCCTAAGTCCTTTACTAAAGGAGAACTTAATATAAAATAAAATACATATCTCCTGTCTCCATAGGAGGCTAAAATTCTTTTTGCAGTTGACCTAAGTTCTGTCAGGAAGGCTTCTTGCTCACTACAAAGGCTTATTAAGTCTTGGAGAGACACCCCAAAACACACCAACTACTGCTTTTTCTTCCTATTATTTCTTTTAGCCAAGTTTGTTGTGAAGTTTTCAAAAAACAAATACCATGCAAAGAGCAGGACACAGTAGAGAAGGATGCCATAGGGAAGAGAGAGGGTCACTGCTGCAGATGGGATAAATGGCAGGTCTGTGACACAAGCACATGGTGGAAACCCCCAACCTCGGCCGGTGGTCTCATACTTACTGTAACTGGGGACATAAAGACCTCTCCGGTCTCGGCTTGACTCCTGGCCCAGGGGGCTGGTGGCCGGGCACGGGGGGCTTGGGAAGCACCGGTGGGACGAAGAGCCCGGGTTTGCTGTGTTCTTTGGGCACTCTGATGTCCGCTGGCTTCTCAGCCAACTGGGGCAGCTTGGGTTTGCTGCTGGGCAGCGGAGGAGGAGTTCGTGGCAAAAGGTTTAAGTTCTTGAGCTTCTCGCATCCTTCTGGAGTGGGGAGGACTTGGGGGAGCGGCTCCGAGGGCGCCGAGCACAACTCCTTGTTACAGCCAGGCTTTTTGAAGAGAGGTAGAGGGGGTACAGGAGGCGGCTGCTCGCTTAATCTCCAGTTTGGCTGCGGGCTCTTCAGATTAGCCTCCGCACGGCAGTGGATCTGGTGTTCCCGGACGTGGGAAAGATCCTCTGCTTTGATATCGGGCAGGCTCCTCTTGGGCGGCGGCGGCGGCAGCGGCGCGGCGGGTTTGCCCAGGAACGAGTGCGTCCTGGCCTCGGCGAAGGCGGCTTTCCTCGCGTGCGGAACCGGCGGCGGCGGGTAGGCCGGCGGCAGGACCAGCATATCTGCACAGAGAGCCCGGCCCCAGAACAAAGGCATGAGGAGGAGAAATAAAATACACCCAGAAACAAGACTCTAAATTTTTATTTTCAATGTGATTTTGGATATTTCACCGGCAGTTGTTCTGACAGTACCTAAAATGATGGGGAAACACTCAACTTTCAGCACAATTCTTCATATTGTGTGCAGTAGAATCCCGCAACCTTTACTCAGGCATAGCTTGTGTTGACTTAGCAAAGAATCTGATCTTTGATAATAATAAAGAGACCACATTAAAAGCATTATCTCTCCTCCTGGCCAATGATTAGATACAGATTCCTTGAGGGCAGGAGATCTTCCACAACAAATGCCCTTCCAAGCACTTTTTGGGATTTTTTTACTTGGACTGCTAGACACTAAAACCTCTCAAAACTAGATACCTCTGCATTACTTAATTATTTTAACCTCTTGCAAAGCTTTAGACATGGCTAAGCCTAAAGAATGACTTGGCATTCCACAGGAAGATGACCACCCATTAGTGGTCATTTGCAAACAGAATACAATAAATTACATACCATCTTTCCCTAGGTCAGGAGTATCCGGTTGCAAGTAAGATTCCTCCTCTTCCTCTTGGTCATAATCTGCAGATAAAAATAAATATGTCAGACACTGATAAGTATTTCTGGAACCATGGAAGCATGCCAAGCATTTACTGCTTTTTAACAAACAAATATTCTTCAGTTAAAAAAAATAAACATCTAGGGCTAAGGTACTTTGCGGTGACACTTAGTAGTATTATAGCCCATCTGAGAAAATTCCCAGCTTAGTTGCAGAGATGCAATTACGCTGTCAGAAATAAGTAGGAAAAAGGAAAACCCTATTACAGAAGCATCTATGAATTTGCAGTACGGAATCCTAAGCAAGCTTAGGTGACTTGGAAAACAATTCCTTTGCCTAGCTCTGGCAACACAGCAGTGCATCACAACAAACACCTTTAATGGTTTTAATGTTGCCTTTAACTGTACGTCAGAATAAGCCTCTTCCAGAGGGTAATTCCTCATCGTTGACTACGTCAGGAGTGACAAGGACAGCGTATAGCATTTCCCCATTCAAATTCATCAGAAATCATAAAAAAAATCAGAAAGTTGTTCTCATTTTTCTAATTTAAACTCCTAGACCTCTTCAGACAATTCACACCGTCTCGGGTTGTGGTCAGGACTCCTGCGTGTAGGAGTGGGATAGTTTTGTGCCAAGTGCTACTGAGTCTGTTTTCTTCTTCTACTTTGCAACAATTGCACCGGATTTCCCAAGAAGCTTCACTCCCACCCGTTTTGTCCTAGTCAGGAAAGATAGCCAGGAATTTCCTTCCAGGAAATGAGAGCACTCGCTGCACGTCACCCCTACCCCAAGAAATCTGAAAGGGTGGGTGGAAAGCTGCCTAGTAAGGGGATTGTGCTGAACCCTGGGGCAACATTTCTCATCGAACTGAATTTCGCTGATGTGCTCCCTGAGTAGGGAGCGAGTTGTTGAAACGTGTCGTGCACAGCTGAAACGTGTTACCTGCCCCACGGGCTTTGGTAACATCCTCATACCTGACTAAAAATGCACACGCTCAGGCAGAACTGTTTCTTGGGAAGCAACTATAGCAAAGAAGAGACATCAAGGACTGAATCAAGGAGAAGCTGTGCTGGGAAGAGGATGCTGGGCCTCAGCGGAGCAGCTGCTCCATGCAGGAGCGCCTGGGCACGGCTGCCCGGTGCCCTTCTCCTGGCCCAGCTCCCACGGGAGACCTCGTACCCCACAAGGACAATAGATCCTCCAGGCAGCTTTTACTGAAATAAGGGCATTCCTCATAATTCCTCTTATTGAGGAGTCAAACAAAACCCACTTTGTAGTTTCATACTATGACCCACGGACATACTCAAATGTTTTACCTTTTCACTAAATCTATGCACTTTCCAACATGCAGCCTTACTTAAGTGTTTAAAATAACTCATGATGTCAAACATGGTCTAAACCACTTGAGTTACCATTTTTTCCCTCGTGATTTATGGTACAGAACATTTGTGTCCGTTCCTAAATTACGGCAACACTACATGCCTTTAGCAATATGAATTTACAGTTCTCAGTTGCAAACTGGATCATACATAATCAGTCATATTTAAGTGATGTGGAATCGGAGCAGGCAGGGAGAAGGGATTAAAAAAAAATAAATCTTCTTTTCAATGTCTACAATTGTCACCTTCGTTATCTGCCGAGTGGTGAGAATACTTGATATCAATGGGACGTTCTACTGAGCCATAGAAACTGTCTGCGTCAGAACCAGAATCACTGCAAAAGAAAAGACAGGTCCATTTTGCATCACTGCCACAAGGATCTTGGAACAGAAAGAATTTCTACTTGCACTCTGGAAAGCAACACTGGAACAGGAGGGGCATTCACTCCTGCTTCCCAATTAGCAGTTAGATAATTTGCTATCATTTTGAAGTTCGTGATTGTTTTAAACAACGCAGACATTTTATAGCCTCATTAAGATGATTTCTGCTATTGTATCTTTTAAAATATGTATTAGGAAGGCATTCCATTATTGGGGTGTATTGAATCTGTTATTAGTGGTACATTCCTCGTAGCTGCAAAGAGCCAAAATCAAAACTGTCAGAAGCAAACATGGACTAAGGGCTCATACCTGAATTCTGTTACTGTTTCTTTCTTCTCATGGTAGTGATCTATTTCCCTCCTCAGGGACAGCATCCAGTTCTTCAAATGAAGAAATAGTATTTAAATTGTTAGACAATTTAAATTGTTAGATAAGCATGCCCTGTATTTGTTCTCTGTAAAGCTAGGACAACTAGGAACCTACCCTCAAATTACATAGATCCCAACTTGACAGAACTATCAAGAGGATTTATTAGTCAAAAGATTTTTCACTATCTAAAATCTTATAATAATGCATTAAAATATTAAACTTAGAAAAATAGCTTTAAATTCATAAATTGGAAAAGTAGATAACTGTTCATGCATCTGAGATTTCCTACTTTATGAAAGATTGAACATGCAAATATTCATTGCTTGGCTAAAAATAAAACCAGGAGCATAAAACGCGATGACACCTGGTGTGTTACATTTAGCCATTCCCTAAATCACACCCTGGGCTCGCGCCAAGATAATATCTAGAACTTTAGGTGCGATTTTCAGAGAAGCCCAAAGAACCAGACGCACAAATTTCAGTGGCAGTTGAGCATCTAGTTCACTTAGATTTCAGGCAAGTCCAAGATTCACTTTCTTCTTCTTTTGCACTATGCTTTTTCGCGACACAGAAAGGTACCTTTCTTTCATCTTCAGAAGAAGCAGAAAAGAACCACGTCCGATGCTTCTTGCTGATGTGAACCAGCTTGAAAGGAAACACGTTGCTTGACGTCGTCTCTTCAGCTGCTCGCATAACCCTAGGAAACACAGCAGCCAATATAGAAAAAAACTTCCTTTATAAATGTAATTCTGACATGCAAGTCAAAGCTCATAGAAAGTGATACCAGCCAATTTTTCCCTACTAAAAATAAGTATGAAGCCCAAGAAAGCACCACCAAAACACGCACAGGTGCTTTTGTAGCCCTTCTAAGCATTCTATGATTCTATAATTCTGCCATTAGAGCAGGACAAAGCACTGGCTGAACCACCAGCCAGACTTATATACAGATGGGTTAACTTAAGCCTGTTCAATAAATAATTTTACTGAATTAGGTTAATTTGAAGACTTCATATTTCAGTAGGAATTATTTAGGCACATTGTATTTCCTATTTCAGAAGGCACAGTGGAGAAATCAAAACACACGTTTTCCAGAATGCCAAAGGAGAGCCAATAATAAAAGTTAACTTACTTTTTCCACTCTTTTTTTTCCCCTTATTAAATGCTATATTGCATAATTTTCTCATTTGAGAATCCTCTAAGGAAAACAAACAAACAAACATATCTAATGCAATTTGGGAAATCTATAAAGCGCAAGACAGCATTTATATGGAAAAAAATGGAAAAAATTACTGGGTCTTCCTTTCTAGCTTGCCTATTTCCTCATGTAATACAGTATTTCCATGAGTCACTAATATTTAGGGAACTTGGTTTGTAGACTTAGAAGATAGATCACTGGAACCATTTCCTTTTTGGTCAGGAACCCAAAATCAAGATGCACTTTGGGCAGGGGCGGGGAGCTAATCAAGCCCCAGCAGTTGCCACAGCACACACTGCAAAGGGGCTTTTCTAGTTAGACACCACATCTTTTTAGAAGCCCAATCCTAACTTTAAGCCGCCGGCTGCGGTTTGCTGCATCTGCGCAGTCTTACATGAAGCTGGAAAAGGAACTGCAAACTGCCTTACTAATTTAAGAATAACCAGGATGTCAGGGTAGGAAATACCCCAGCACGGCAGAGAGGGTAGCAGTGACTCAGCAGGCATCCCTGCTCATTCTGAGTCACTACTGAACTCGACACTCTCTCACCTTCCACCCACTCCTAACACATAAAGGCCATTGAAGACAAGGGCCAACATAATAGTCTGCTGAAGGATTACAGCCTGTCTCCAACAAGGTTATGCAACCAGCCAGGCTACCAAACAAGCCTCTTTCATTTCAAACTCTGTTTCAAAACTGGACATGTCTGTGCATGGCACTAAGCAGCACCTGCCCCCTCCAGGTAGGGTTTGCACAGCCCTCTATGACACAGACTTATTCAAGTAATGAGGCATTCCCCAGCATTTTACAAATCCTAAGGCATCTGTCATCCTAACCTGATGTAGGAGCCAGCATCACAGCCAAATTACAGCAAGGGCTGTTTGTAAAAATTCATTCTGAATTTTTATTTAGCTACAATGCTTTTTTTTACTACATACCTACAAAATGTGCTGTAGTCAGTTAAAAAGCTCTCATATTTTAGCAAACCTTTTCCTGAATCTGAGAAACTGTAGTACAAGACACACACACATACACACAATAAAATCCCATTGTTTGGGACCAATAATGTTATATTCTCTACATTCCACATTTAGCCCTCATCTAAAAAAAGTGATTCATTTATATATGAATTACACATACACACATCCCTATTTATAGCATGTAGTGAAGTGAGTCACAGATTTTGCACCCACATTTACTTCTTCCTCACTCTTGTAGTTAATTCATTTTTGACTCTGACTTGTATTACTGAATGGGTATCTCCATAAATATTTCTTTTTCTAATGGTCACTGAAATCACTAGAATCAAAGATCACTTGTTCGAAATGATCCACATTTATCTGTGTACAACGTCTGCATTAAGTCAGGAACAGCAGCAAACCCACTGCAATTTCAGTGGTTTTACTGGAGAAGTTACAAAAGATGAAGGGCAAACCTTGGCAAAGCACAGAGAACATCAGACATACAATTTAAAGACATATATCTCTTGAAATGGGAAGTGAGTGCTTAACACCAGCAATGGATGTAGTTTAATTTAACTTGGTTTGAAAAGAAAACCTCAGCCCCCTTACCAAGAAAAAGGGGCTTGGGCATTAAACAGACTCTGTGGCACTCACCTGTTATAACCATTTAAAGAAAATGCACCCTGTGGAGATGCAGATGTGCTGCTCTTAAAGTAGTAAATACATCCCTCGTGAATAATCACAAATCTCAAAGGCCCTGAAAAAGACAAAAAGCAAGCAAAAAAATAAATCCAATGCAAGCCCATTTGTCAATTCTTTAAGAACCCTACCCAAGCAGGGAGGATTCAGCTCCTGTGTCAGTGCTTATGGAGCATGCGTCCCGGCTAAAACACAGCTAAAACCACACACATTGATGCTCACCCCAAACCACTACACTATTTCCGTCCTTCCCTTCATCTCAGGTACATAAAGCTGGCTATAAAAGTGGTTTTTTTTTTGTTGTTGTTTTATTTTTAAACAGTTAAGTGCCAACACTCTTTCTTCCTTTGATAAAGGCAATAAGAAAAATAATCTTGTTCTTAGTTGTATTGTTTCATTGTAAACAGGTATAGCAAATGAATAGCATATAAACAAACCCAAAGCCTTAAACTCTTTCCTGTAAATGGATTCACATTCCAGAAGCAATTACTGTTATTAAATACAGCCTAATCTTGGCAATAAGAAAGTTTCCACTTCACAGAAAGCAGTCTCCACTTCACAGAGAGTAGTGGGAGACAGGGATTTTTTTCTTTATTTTGTAACGCAACAGATCCGTTCCAGCTGGGGAAGCAGCTAAGCACTAATATCTTTCAGAAAAAAAAATATTTTAAATTGATGCATCTCTGCTCCTAAAGATGTTAGTTCTGTAGGCCATGACAGGAGATTTAACTGAACACAAGAATGTGAACCACAACACTTGTATTTAAGACTTGAGAACAATTAAAGCAAATACTTCAACACAAGCATTTTGTACAAATATTCCAGTAGAACTTCAGTCCAGTACAGGCAAAGGAAGTGAAGGAAGGGCTTTATTAAAGAGCCTGCTAACACAAAATACGCTCATGGCCCAAAAGGCAAGCACTTGAAACAATGACATTGAATTTAATTAACACCTTTTTCAACTTACACTTCAAGATCTGCAGCTGGGTGCCTCCCTTCTTGTGCAGATACCCTGCTTTGGTCACTCCTCCAGGCATCGTCAGGAGATTTTGGGCTCCAATTGCCTTCATTGGGACGGGCCAGACCTGCTCCTCCGAGGCCATCGTTCTGCAGTTCAGAATAATTAAAAGACTGTTTGAAAATTATATTCTGCTTTAAGAAGCGAGTACAGAGAAACACAGTTCGTTTCCTTAAACATGTTTTCCAAGTAACTAACATGGTTCAGCAGGCAAGTATGTAGCACAGACGGATGTTCATAGATTCCAGGAAGTTTGTGATGTATAAAAAACATGGTGCAGAAAGTCCCAATTTATTTTTGTACAGCTCAAAAGTGATTGACAGTTATCAAAACAATGGGAGGATACTCCACAAAGGCAACTTAAATATTTATATTAAAAACATAGCCCTGATCTTAGCATTGTGAGGCTTATCAGGTGACTGATAAGAAAGAAAATCAGTTTCTTCAACAAAATTATACGTCACACAATTTTCTGTATAATAAGAGAATCAATATTTGGGTATTTGGGTGCAATACCCACCAATAGTTACTGCTCATATTTGATGTTTTACTGTAAGTGAAAGCACATAGTACATAACCCTATCCTGGATGTCACATGTGGTGCAGTACACAGTGCAATTCAAGTTAACCCCAGGCTGCTGCGGGTTGCCATTGAATATACAGAAATTATTAATGTCACTTCACTAAGTATCTTTGTAATTACCACTCTACTATTTTATACATTACCAAAAAAATGAAGTGTCTTATGTAGCAATTTTATCTGTCTGATACATCTCTAAGAGAACTAACTTTCTTCAGCTGGCAGTCAGAGTATTTACAACTACATAGCCCTACCATATAGCACAGAAAAAAATAATAAGGTATGAAATGAACAGAAAGTTTGACCCATTCCACTGTCCTCAGGCCTATGGGTAGAGACCCCTGCCAGGCACAGGCAGCCTAACAAAGTGGCTCTGCAAATAAAACCATTAAGGCAGTTTCTGCTGATTGATGGTTTGCAGCCTTGCAGAAAGGCCAGCGTGATGGAAATAGGGGCTCATGCCACCAAGTCGCGCTCTGCAGATCCCTTCAAATCAGGGATGCGGAACAAAGTCCCGGATGAAGATTTTCCTTTTAAGAATGGACACATCCACATTCCAACATTTGAAATTAATTTAGGACTAAGTGATTTCAGTCTGTTTCTAATTATTTACAGGAAAAATACAGTGAAAGTGGAACCTTTCTTATTTAGCTCAAAATATTGATATTAACCCCCGTATTAGTCTCAATGCCACCAGAGAGCTTCAAGCTCAGTACAGGTCTTCAAATCTCATGGCCCAAGAAGACTCGAGCACCTACTCCTTAAAAAGGTACTATAATTCCAGGGATATTTCAGTCAAATACATACCAGAAAAGGCAGAGTTAAATGTCCTGGAACAGTTATCCAAAATATCCAGCATGCTGAAATTTCTGCCAAGCCAATGAAAAGCACTGGGCAACAAGGGCATCCCTGATAACCCAACCAAACCTCCCCAAGTAAATACTGAAAACAAACATTTGATTGCACCACGGTGGCCTTCTCTGTGTGAACACAGTCGTTAGACCAGTCACTAAAATGGGGCACTTGCTTCTTCTCCCAGAAAAGCCAGAACATCCTGGGGGTGGGGAGGGACAGCGAAGGAGAGGAACAGCCAGGTAGGGAATCCAGTCCCGCAATATGAGGACTATGATATAGCTCAGGAGGAAGATCAGCCGAGTATCAGGTTCCTGTTCCTCTACTCACAATCGTTTCCCCCTTTGACTTCCTACTATAAAAGAGTCCTGAAAACAGAGATCGAACCTCAGAAATTCCCCCTCCTAGTTGGCTGAATAAGAGGACCTCAGCCAAGTGTGCATTACACAGACAGGAACAACTTCATACACCAGACTTTCCAATGGATTTACAGGTTGCCCTGCCCATTTTCTGGATCTCACTGTGCTTCATCCCACTCCCAGTACCTGCAGGGTCCTCAAGCACTTTCTCCCCATCAGTTTTTCACTTTTCTAGACAGTGCCACGCCAGCCTGCAGGAGCACTAGGTGCCCCTCTGCATCACGTTACAGGGGCAGAGCTAGCAAAACAGTCTCACTGTGGGATCCTTATTGCAGGGGCTGAAAAAAAGGAAGGTAAAAAAGATGCTCTTATAGATGTTTTCAGACTGAAGATCCACTCTATGGTTGCATTTGGCTCCTTGAAACAGTTCTTCCCACTCCTCATATTCCTTTTCCCATTCTTGAAATCCACCTCATGAAGAACAGACCAAAACTGTCAGGCACATTTGATAGCAGGGTCTAAAGTCCCTGCACAGCCTGTTGGCTCTCTAAGCATTAAGGGAAGGGTATTTCCAGGCTGTGGCCCTTACATATTAGTTTGACACCACTCTGAGTGGTCAGCAGGCAAATTCAGAGCAAGGGCCACCAAGGGCCACCAGGGCCAGGCGATGCTCCTCCACGGGTGCATGCCCTGCTGCAAGCTGGTCACCAAGAAAACAGATGTGTCTTTTCAGATGAAACCGTCACCAAGTCCCAAATCCACTTTAAGGGGCTGCGACACCAACCTCCTTCCACACTGAAATGGGACAACATCTGGGCAACCTCAGAGCTGACAGCGAAGAGCCTTTTATCACTCTGCTTCCCACAGGATCATGGTGACTGTCTGATGGAGACGACAGGCTCTGGAGCACAGTAGGAGAAACATCGGCACTTCCCAGGCTTTGCCTCACCACCCAGCAGTGTTTTGAAAGGCAGAACAGCAGTTAGGCTGCTCTCCAGCAGGGCCATGTGCTTGTGTGAGCGCTGCTGCGTTGACCTCCCGCACGCAAAGGGAGCTGCCATGCTGGAAACCGAAGCACTGGGCAATGCTCAGTCAGTACAAGGGGTCTCGCGAATCTGCCTATCATCTGACTACACCTTTCCCAACCACTACCAAGATAAACTGCCCTTCATTTCGGGTAAAAACATAAAATATCTGTATTATGAACCTCACAGCAGCAGCGAGGAAGGTGCACGTACACACTTCATCTGTGAAGTAACTTTCAACTAATCCTCTCAGTCAACACATCTAAAATAGATGGATTTGAGTACGAGGCATAACTTGACAGGCTTAAAAAAAAATAAAACTAAAAAGTTCTGCCACACAAAATCTGGAACACATTACGGAAGAACACTTACCCCTCTTGGCTTTATGAGCTATTGGCGTTCAACCAAATTAAAGCAACTTCAGGCTGATTCAGCTAAGGATTGCATCCTGAAGGAGCCAGGAGCCCTCTGTTCTTGTTGAACCCAAGCAGAACATGTGGAGCTGATCACATCTGCCCCATCTTGCAGATCAGGCATGAAAACATAACTCTCCGAGGTTACAATTGACAAATGCTGTGTTAAAAGTCCCTCACTTGTCACAATAATATTGATGTTCTACCTTGGAGCCCAGCTTGGTCATGCTGGAAACAAACAAAAAACAGGCTCCAAAACTGCCTTACAAAAATCAAATGTGATCTGAATTCATCACAAGCATCTTGATATAAATTATGCCCTAAGACTTTCTAAACTCCGCAATCTCTCTAAATTCTCCTCTGAAAATAACACCTAGCAAAGCAAGGCGTTTGCTTCTGAATGTACACATAATTTGTGAAAATAAATGGAGCATTTCACATAGAGCCCCAGGAAAGACTCCAGTTTGTCTCCACAAGCGACTCACCCAAGAACGCAGCAGCATTTTGTGCTCAGTAGAACTGCAAGAGTTTCCCCCGGGCACTCTCAGCAAGCCCGAGCGAAAACGACTTCTCTCAATCAATCTACACACCTACCAGCTGTTCCAAAAACTCTTGTCCAATTCTGCAGAAGTTTCTGGTCTGCTCTCCATTTATTAAATATCTTCTGGCATTTCTGGAATGCTGTGTCGTATCCCCCCCACTTTGGGGGGGTTACACATCCCATTCCCTCACTCTGCTAAGAGCCTGTTGCTTTCCCAGAAGGATGAAGAGCAAAGCACAAACACCGGGAAGCCCAGCAAAGCCTAGAGCAGGAAGGGCCCTGAGAACTAAGCCTGACGAGCTGCGCAGTTTAACTTGCTTTTCTCCTCAGGCCAGCTACTCCAGCCAATGCTCCTCTCACCGATGCCCCGTACGGCAGCTCCCGCAGCAAACGCCAAGGTGAGGACTACCCGCCACAGACACGAGGTCCCGCTCGCCGCCTCAGCCCGCTCGAGGCCGAGGGGACCCGCGCTCACCTGGAGCGACACATGCTGCTCCTGGCGGCGGCCGGCGCGCGCCTCCGCAGGGCCATCAGGAGCCGGGCAGGCCTCCCCGCCGCGCGCGGGGCATCTCCGCGCCGCTGCCGCTCTGCGCCAGGCCCGGGGCGGCCGCGCGCGCGACGGGGCCGGCGGGAAGCCCAGCCCCGTGGGCCGGGGCCGGGTTTCCTCCCCGCTTCCTGCTCCCCGCGCGGTGCGGCCGGCCGCGCGTTTCCCAACCTCCCACCCAGGCGGCAGGCGGAACCGCCAGCGCTCGGTTCCCTCGCGCGGCCGCCCTGGCTGGGCAGGGGGTTTCCAAAGCCCTGGCTGCTCCTGAGGCGCTTCTCACGCTAACACGCTCCCACAGGAGAAAAAAACAATGCAAAACACATTAACAACACCGACAACAGCAGCAACACCGACACCAACAACAGCAGCAACAATGAGCCGCCCTGTTCCCCACAGGACTCCTGTTCCCCACAGGGCTCGGACACCGTGCCCGGAGGCCCTGAGGAGCAACATCATTTCAAGCTCATTTCATCTCCTTTCTGTGCCATAGCTAAAGCTCTTCTTTCTCTTTTCAGGCTTGGAAGGATTACGTAGCCTGAGCTCACTCCGCAGTGAGCACTGTGCACGCTTGACACTGTGCAAGCCCCAAGGGGCAACAAAATCCTAGCCCAAGGAGATCAAAAACAACTAAGTGCCCTGCAGGCAGCTGCCACCAGCGCCGGCGAAAGAAAGGCGCCGCTTGGCGCTTCCAGGAGTGTCTGGAATGAACCAACACCAAGGGCGAGAGAGCTCAGGTAAGGGAGAAAGCTACTGCATTTCTGAGCCATGGGCAAAACCGGTACAGGCGGACAGGCTGATCGGAGTGTACTCCACAGAGCTGGGAAATCCATATTCCAAAGTGGGAGGGAAGACATCTCTGCAGGACTTTTCATTTTGTGAAAGCAGAGAAGAAAACAAGATTTCACATACTAGTGCTATATAGAGAGCATAGAAAAGCTTATATGAGATTAGATCATAGAATCATAGAATCATAGAATGCCGAAGGTTGGAAGGGACCTCAGAGGTCATCGAGTCCAACCCCCCTGCTCACGCAGGGTCACCTAGAGCACGTGGCACAGGGCTGCATCCAAGCGGTTTTTAAAGATCTCCAAAGAAGGAGACTCCACAACCTCTCTGGGCAGCCTGTTCCAGTGCTTTGTCACTCTCACAGTGAAGAAATGCTTCCTTAAGTTCCTGTGGAACTTCCGATGCTTCAGTTTGAAGCCATTTCCTCTAGTCCTATCACTGTCCACCACTGAAAAGAGGCCGCCCCCTCCTCCTCACTGCCTCCCCTGAGGTATTTATACACGCTGATCAGGTCCCCCCTCAGCCTCCTCTTCTCCAGGCTGAACAGGCCCAGCTCTCTCAGCCTTTGCTCATAGGGCAGATGTTCCAGGCCCCTGATCATCCTGGTAGCCCTGCGCTGGACTCTCTCCAGCAGCTCCACATCCCTCTTGTACTGGGGAGCCCAGAACTGGACGCAGTACTCCAGATGTGGCCTCACCAGGGCTGAGTAGAGGGGGATGATCACTTCCCTCGACCTGCTGGAGACGCTTTTCTTAATGCACCCCAGGATCCCGTTGGCCTTCTTGGCCACCAGGGCACACTGCTGCCTCATGGTCAACTTGTCGTCCACCATGACACCCAGGTCCCTCTCTGCGGGACTGCTCTCCAGCAGGTCCACCCCTAATCTGTACTGGTGTCCAGGGTTATTCCTCCCCAAGTGCAGGACCCTGCACTTGCCCCTGTTGAACCTCATGAGGTTTCTCACCGCCCAGTCCTCCAGTCTGTCCAGGTCCCTCTGGATGGCAGCACAGCCCTCAGGGCTATCAGCTACTCCACCCAGCTTGGTATCGTCGGCAAACTTGCTGAGGGAGCACTCCAGCCCTTCATCCAGGTCGTTAATGAATAAGTTGAACAGGACCGGACCGAGAACTGACCCCTGGGGGACACCACTAAGTACAGGCCTCCAGCTTGACTCCGCACCATTGACAACCACTCTCTGCACCCTGCCATTGAGCCAATTCCTAATCCACCTCCCCGTCCACACATCTATCCCACACCTTTGGAGCTTGCCCAGGAGGATGCTGTGAGGGACAGTGTCAAAAGCCTTGCTCAATCCAGATAGACCACATCTACCGCTCTGCCCTCATCTATCCATCTATCTATTATATAGATATATAATATACATATATTATATATATGCTTTTACATATCGCGTAGAAAAGCAATTCTCTGTCTTCTTCACCCCCAGCACACCCACTGTGAGTCCTTCCATAACTATGGAGAGCAAGGGAAGGGCATATAGGAAGGGCATATAGGAAGGGCATATAGGAAGGGCCAGGACATTAGGCATCAGCTGTTAGCCCAGAGCAGCACCTCAGGATGAAACCCTGAAAGACACTAAAAAAGCATCAGTACTCAAAGGTCTCGGGGCTTCATTAACAGGCTTCCTACACAGGAAAGCTGTGGAAGGGGCTACAGCTCCACAGCTGTGAATTAAATCCAGCTGTTTATCCACTACAATATTAGTTCTTAATTGCAACTTCAAGCACTAAAGCACAATGCCTTAAAGCAATTTTTCCTTCCCGACAGTTCACCACAGACACAGGTGCTTCCAAGCCGAGGTGACCACCTCGGACAGCCTTCTTAGCAAGCAGCTGTGATCGCAACGCAGCCTTCGAGCGCCTGCAAGAGCGGAGAAAATGAGCAGTTCCTCTTTCCATTTCTAACACACCTACGTCGTAGTTTTCCCCACCAAGCCATGCAACTGCAGTTTGGTTGTGTTTCAGCTCCACGCTCATTTTATCCAGTACATGGTCTTGAATTGCTGCTTTTCCACTCTAATCTTTGCCACTCTCCTCTCCCTTTCTTCCCTTAGGCCCTCAGAAACACATAGGATTTTTCATTTCAAGTTCCAGGATCCCCTTTTCACTTTTCTGGTGATTTCCAACCCTGCCAAGACAATCACAGTAGGAGTCAGAACAAAGGACGTTTCACACAACAAACCTGCTGTTCCAGTGACAACAAAATAGGTTTATAAGGTTCACAATTTGGAAGAATAAAAATCCACCTTATTTTCTAGGCTGACCATTAGACAGAAAGGTTGTGTTTCAGAACCACAGACAGATGGAAGAGATGTGAAATCTTTATAGAGTTGATTAACTTGTCTGACACAGAAAGGAGAGAGAATTAAGTATATCCTTCTTCATAAAGGAAAAAAATAAATCTCTGCCACTGTTACAAACTCCTCTTGCTCCCTATCAAAAGCAGCCCTATTTATCTCAAGCTTACGGAACACAAGATTAAAACATTTAAAACATATCTCTAATACTACGCTATCAACGCTAGTATATATTCGTGAGCGTGGTTGTAAGGCAGCACCGAGAGCTTCCTCTCACTGACCAACTTACAGGAAACTGCAAGAATGGACCACGAGCAAAACCCGACCAAGAAGTTCTGCAACAGAGGGGCTGAAAAACTAAAGCAACAAGAAAATCTAAGTAACAAAATAAAACACTTTTCTTCAGTGACAGCAAGTCAGGTTTCACCCCAAGAAACATTTGAGGTCATGTACATGCTACTGTAGTCTTTTACAGAAATCTATATAGCCATAAAATGTGGTAAAATTTTGTTAAAATTCTACAGGCTCTGATGGGCTTGAACCAGAAATAGACTGACTCTTAGTGTTTTACTAGTTCTAGCAAGGCTGTTTCATACCATGCTTGTAGATCACGGCAAACACATCCAGGTTATTGAGGAGTTACGGATCTGCCTAGAGCACAATCTGCAAGGGCAGATCCCAGAGGGGAAAATTCACATTACTCTATTTCTACCCTACTGCTGCTAAGCTATGAGTATCCACAGTCACATTGCTGACTTGGGGCTTCAGAAGAGGCAGCCTAATTTGGCTGCTTAATTTGGCACTAATCTGCCAAAAATACGCCATACTTAAGAGAAAGCGTATCCATTTAAAACAAATCTCTAATTTTATTTTGGCTGTTTCCCCAAGCAACTTGACACAGATACTACTAGATGATGCACTGACGCTGACTTTGGGATATATCTCATGTCATTTACGGCCCTGGTGTCTCTAGACCAAAGCACCACCCCAAAGTACTTGCTGTACATGCAGAGCCTGTAAAAAAGAGGATTAGGTTCCACCACTGGAAGAGAACTGTCTGCAAACTCTCAGGATAACATTACCATTTAACAGATTCTCTTGTAACAACCCACCCTGAAAAATAACCTCAGACATCACACTGACATAAATAAGGTTTGCATTAAAATCAGTCAAGTTATCCGAGTATAAATCTCTTGCTGGCTCTTTTCAGTAGCTCTCTTCTAGTTAACTTTCCAGGGACTTTTACTGAACCAAAAGGCCCCTCAAAACCTATTCCAGATGCATGTACCTCATGCTTGGGGGCAAGGTTAACAGTATATTTTGTGTGTCCTCCATTGCAAATCCAGGAGTCCATAAGCCCACAAAAAAACAAATCCCTCTTTGGTGCATACAGTTCCACCCATAGTACCTCATTACTTAAAGAAAGATTAAATTAATCACAAGATTTCAAACCTTTCAAAGCCAAACTTGCTGAAAACAAGTTTTTAAAGGTGGAAGGCAAGTTCCTGAAGATTTTTGCTGCATGCTTATCATATTTCTTAAAATAAACTTGAAGACAAGTTATCAAGATAAGACTTCCACACTCCTTTCGCATTCAAACCAGATGGACAAGTTCTTTGTTCCCTTCTCCACAAGAACCTTACATATGGGAATGTGTTAAGTAGCCTGCCAAGTAAATACTTCCATGATTCTTCCAAGTGCTGTCTTTCCCAAGTGTTTGCAGCAAAAACCTGAACAAGAACATAGTCAAACACCACGTAAGTACAGCAGTACGAGGGTGATTGCCAAGGTCCTGCTCCTGCACCCAGCTGCAAAGGGAGTTTCCACAAAACATATGCAGTCATT